AGGGGATGTAAATAATATGTAATTGAAGGGAGGATATGGGTAAATATCTTGAAGAAGAGAGATTTATAGAGAATCTTAAGCTTTATTATGAGTTTCTTGACAACTTCTGATTTCAGAAAAAAGCAATAAGCCCCTTGGGAGAGCTGTTTTGTTTATTTGGTTAAAGATGTTACCACATTTCCATTCAACTGCTTCTGGAAGTATCAACAAGATGTTTCCAAATCACTTTGACAGGGCAAGGCAATTAAGAACTAGATTCTCTAGTAGAGAGCTACAATGCTATCAATGATTATCTCAACGGATGAAAAATCACTGAAAAAAATAGAGATGACAAAAAGATGCCAAGAAATATATGGAAAGTCAGGAAAAGAGTTTTATAGTATGATGAGAAACACTGAAAACCTTTCAAAATAGTTACTAAGAGCCCTCCCTGGTGGTACAGCAAGTTAAAGCACAGCACTAAGAAGCTAAACCCACGTCAGCATGAGTTCGATCCCCGCCTGCCCCGGAGGTGACCACATGGCGCGGCAGACCTCTCCTGACCCACCCGCTGCACCACTCAGCAGTGTACTTTGTCAGTCAGCCTGTTCTGCTCCCTGCTTTATCTCTGGTGAATCTTCTCACCACCCCTGCACCTCTGGCCTGCACCCCAGTTCTGTATGCACAAATAAATAACTCTTTTTTAAAAAAATAGTTACTAATTAAATAGCTAAAATCATACTCAGTCAAAATAACACTATATAGTATTCCAGATTAGTTTTGGAAATAAAATGCCTATATCCTAGTCCCCACAGGAGACCATAAGCAACTCTGCATTCTAATGAACAGAAGTTAAAATATTGAAAACCCTTTCTCTTTTTCAAGGAGTTATGTCAGGCCATTATCTTGCAACATTAGACCAGAAACAGTATAAAAACAAACATCATCCCCTAAAAATTCCAGTCTCTTAATCATATCTGGCTCCCTGCACCCATGTCAAGCGGCTATCGGTAACTAAGGATCAGAATTCTTTTCACCCAAGTCACACACAACTAACAAATTTTCAAGTGGGATCTGACTTCAACCCTTCTGATAATGATCCCAAGTAAACTCTAAACAACATGAACCCTAGCTCATCATCACTGCAAAAAACATCTTATTTGCATCTCAAGCCAGAAATCATGTACCTTATTTACATTAGAAAATAAATAACACAAATTTCCCTTGACTTCCTTCATTTCTGCTCTCTCTTAGAAATAGTGTTCTCTTCTGAGCAAGGTCACTCCTGGCTCATTCATCCTGCAGGTCTCTACCACAGGTTCCTGGCTAAACACAGGATCTGATGGCTCCTGGGTCTCTTTTCACAGTAGCTAGTTCTGCTTATGGTGACCCTGCAATTTTCTCCTGACCTTAAAATAAGCACTGATCCTGCTTAGTGAAATAAGCCAGAAAGAAAAAAGAAAATACCAGATGGTTTCACTCATAGCAGGAGCATAAAGGACCAGGGGGAAAAATAATAATAATAATAATAATAATGAACAACTATATACCAGACACATTTTACGGGGGTAGAGTGGGGAATGGGATCAAAAATGGCGGGGAGGGGGGGAGTGCACTGGACTATGGTGATGGCACAGGGTTGTTTTGGTGATGGGAACTCACGGGATGAAAACTGAGATGGAAAAAAGTACAGTTTCTGTGTTGTCGTGGTTATCACATTTGCCTCACACAACTGAGAAGGAAAAAGGCACAAAATGATGTAAAAAAAAAGCACTGATCGGGCCCTCCCTGGTGGCGCAGCGGGTTAAAGCACAGCACTGAGAATCTAAAGCCGCTTCCACATGAGTTCGATTCCCGCCTGCCCCGGAGGTGACCACATGGCGTGGCAGACCTCTCCTGGCCCGCCCACTGCTCCCCTCAGCAGTGTACTTCATCCATCTGCCTGTTCTGTTCCCCGCTCTGTCTCTGGTGAAGCCTCTCACCGCCCCTGAGCCTCTGGCCTGTACCCCAGTTCTGTATGCACAAATAAATAAATCTTTAAAAAAAAAAAAAAAAGCACTGATCCATGCATGGCCCTCTTTCTTGTTTGTGTTAATATAGTAATCACCTATGAACTCCCCACCAAAAGCAGGTACTGGATCATGAGCAGTAACTTTCATCCGCCTCCATGTGCCTTGCCAAGCCATCCTCTTGTCCTCCCAAAGACAAATGCCATCTGAAATTTTATGTTGATCACTTGATCACTGTCTTGCTTTAAAAAACCTGTGTATTTCCATACTCATAAAAATATCTTTAAAAGTGTGTGTTTGCTTATTTGTTTTCTTGTTTCCCCGGCTCATGAGAACTAGTACAAAAATTACAGAAAATAATTTGGAAATATCTAGTAAGCTGACGACTAGCGCAACCTACAAGTCATAACAAACATTAGCATATATACCCACAAAATATGAATGATTAGAGCAGCATTCTGCAACTTTTTGAAACTAAAAAAGCAGTCACTGTAGGAGAACAGGGAAACATACTATCTTATAGACAAATAATATAATATTGTATAGTTGCTAAATTCTGTGAACCATAACTGCGTTCTACATGGGTGAATCTTAGTGACATAACACCAAGTGGGGGAGGGTAGGAAGGAAGTCCAGAGTTAATAAATAGCATGAGACCCCTTTTTCCAGACTTAAAAAAAAAACTTTTAAAAAAAAGTATTATAGTTATTAGCCACACTTTTCAGTAAAAAAAAATCTCTTTTGAGAAATTCATGCCTCATTCATGCCCAAACCTGACTACTCACTCTAAGGGCAAGAACATCTTTTTACTTTTAGTTGTATCTGTGACAGCATCTTGACAAGACAGTTGCTCAATATTAATTTTCTACTGCATGATACTTAACTAAGGCATTTTTAATAAAATTGGAATCTCCTCCCTAAGACAAGTTTCATGTAAAGACACATGTAACTTTTCTCTATTTATGCATTTACCTAATTCTCTTTCTGCAGTGATTTTACAGATTTCCAACCACAAATACTTTTTGGGAGGGCTCTCCCTTCCTGCTTAGAATAAAGTTAACACAAGGTTAAAGCAATCTAGAGACACACGATGGAATCCTGTACAACTCCAAAGAACCGTACTATACTATAACTGATCAACCATCATCATCTGCAGCTGAGGTATCCTCACTGAAAACTATGCACTGAATATAGTATAGCTGAATTATCTACATAGCAACTAAAACCTCAATATAAAGCAAAACCAGGAATTTTAGACAAACAGAAGCAAAGGTTTTAATTTCAAGATATTTTGTTTCTACTTTCAGGGAAAAAAATTCTTTTAGGGGGAAACATAAAATCCAACAGAAAAGAAGAACAATATTCTACCAGTCAAGGCTTCCCTATAACCCAAGGAGGACACTACATCTGCTCTGGTAGGTGATTATAGCTGAGTTACACTGCAGCTTCCCTTCGACCTTGGGAACTCTGCTCTCTCCCAGTTACTGTGAGGTCTTCTGTTTCATTTATTATTAGTCTTTGTATCTGCAATGCTGTAGTGTTTGGTAGGACTATCATCCTTGCGAGCTTGCAGTACCTAAAGCTGTAGAAATGTTTCTAAAAAACAAAGGCGGGGGAGGTAGGAAGGAAGGAAGATGTGTGTGTGTGTGTGTGTATACATATATATACACATATATGTATATATACATATATATGCATATATACATAGAAAACCAAGAGAAACAAAGTTAATGACATTGCTATGGGATATATTTAAATTTCCTTTGAAGAAAAACTACATTTGTTTATCAGTATATTGATTCATTAGCAAGCATTTTTTTAATTTAAAGAAAAGATATTCAAGAAAAATTATACGAGGGAAAGATAACTAAATATAATACACACTCTGTTCAACTAGGCCATCGATTTTAAAATGTAAATTCTTGCAAAAGGTTGGGGGAAGGGGGCGGAGAGGGAACCGTATAGGACTTTGTGTCCTGGAGAAATCATCTGGCAACCCTGTGTATTCACTTAGTTTCGTGTCATTTGCTTCATGTCCATTATGTAATGCTTTCTCCAGCTTTAGGTTCTCTGTGTAAGCTACCGTTCAAGTATATCACACAATTACCACAAAATCAGTGTCAGGCCATAACTTTCAAAAAAGCTTTAAAGGTGTCATGCAGATGTGTCTATACACAGTAGAAGCTTTAAAAAAAAATCTGCTGTTGTCATTACTTTTTCCCGGCTATCCCCCCAGGTCCTTCCATCCCTTCCTCCCCCAGCATCCCTGGTGACACGATCTGCGGGCCGCTCCCGACTCATTGCAGGGGGAAGCACGTCTTGACTGCAATGCAAACCCTGTCCCGATCTGAACCTGGGAAGCACTGGGCCCGGGCCGATGGTGTGGACCCAGGCTGCAGGCAAGCTGCAGGGGCGCCAGCAGCGGGTGGGCAGGGGTGCCCCGCTAGGGCAGTCCGCAGTGCACGCGCACAATAAAACCCAATGCACAACTTCCCCAGCAGCTCCTCTCCCGGATTCCCCGAAAGGTGCGGCGTAGGCGTCAGCCGGCGCGGGCGAAGCGCACTCTCAGCGCGGGTTCGGTTCTCGGCTGACAATTACATCAGTCGTTCCCCTTCCCGAGCTTCAATCCCCAGCAGCATGGGGAAGACTGAGTGCCCAGCAGCGCGGGGGAATGCGGGTACGAAAGCCAGGAGGCCGGAATTCCCCCCAACAACGAGGGGGAGGGGAGGGAGATGAGCTAGGACCGCGACCCAAACGCCCCCTCCCACCTCGACCGCCGGGTTGAACTGCCCCCGCCGCCCCCGCCGTCCGCGCCGCCAGGCCACCCGCATTATCCGTCTAGGGGAGCCCCGGCAGAGGTAAGGGGCATGCCTCAGGGGCCCCAAACCGAGGCTGCCTACCCGCACGTCGCCCGGGGTCCTCGGCCCTCCGGACGTGCACAATGCCGCCGGGCCGCGGTCCGGGCACCATCGTGTCCACTCTAGGGGTCCCCTCTGCAGCCAGGACACCCACCTGCAAGGCAAGTAGCGGCGCCGCTGAGTCTGCGGCGGCAGCGGCGGGAGACGGGAGGCGGCCGGGGTGGGTGGACCGGGAGCGCGGGCTGGCCCGGGAGCCTGGGCGCGGGCGCCGCCTGCGCGGAGCCGCGGTCTCCAGCACCGACAGCGGCGGCGGTGGCGGTGCGGCGCCTCCAGTGGTCTGCCGCGCCGCAGCCCCTCCTCTCCCACGGGCGGGGCGCGCTGGTGGGGCGGTGCTCCGGGATCCCCGCCCCCGGCTTCCTCTCGCCCGCCTGGCCAGTGTGGAACCGCGGGCGGTTGGCGCTCCCGCAGCACCCCAACGAGGCGCCTTCCCTGACGAGCCCCCCTCCCTGCGCCACCCGTAGAGTCGCGAACCTGGCGCGCTGAGCCTCTGAGAGCGGGGTCCCTCTGCCAGCCTCTGAGGGCGCCTGGCCCCTAGGACAAGCCCTGGTGTCCAGAGCTCGCCGCGGTGGAGATTGACCCAGCTGCTCCCGGCCTGAAAGCCATACTAGCGCCCCCATTCGCCCAGGCCCTCAGAGTTGGGCCGACCAGCCTCGTAAAGGGTGCCCCCGAATGACTCCAGCGGTGGGGGCCTGAAGCGCAGCCGCTCTGAGCACCGTGGGAGAAGGGAGTCTTGAGGGAATGGCAGCCTGGCGGCCTGCCGGGAGGCGTGCCAATCCCTGTCTGAGGCCCGTCATTCAGGCAGGTGAATGAACATTCAGGACTTTGTGTGTGCCTTCCCCAGTGCCCCTCCCTCGCCCACACTCGTGCCGGAGCTAAAACTTCTCAAACCCAGAGAAACACCTGAGTTCGGTTGCTTCAAAATAAAAGAAAGTGTCGATGGCTTAGAACTCCACCACAAGTCAACCCTTCCCAACCCCTTAACGTACACCACACTTACCCCTGTCTCCAGTCTGTGCCCCTGAGCCCATTAATCTAAAGGCAAATTTGCTGAGAAGGATGGAGTTAAATATTTACACAGACGTTTCTTTTGTAAATAGGTGCTGAGGAAATGACAGAAGTATTTCAAGACATTTCTGTCATAACCAATTCAGAGAGGAAAAAAAAACAAAGAATTTGATTGAGCCTAACAGAATTATTAGAGAAACAGCACCCAGCTGCTTTGGGGGCTTTCTAGGGGTTCAGGTTTGATGTGATGAGGGGGAAGAGGTGCCAATGAAGGCAACAGTTGAACTTGTTGCTACCCACTGAGACAACTGTGATGGCTTATCACTGATAAAATCTTGATTTTCTAGGAAATATATTCAACTAACTCTATCCACTTTTCCCCACAGTTTAATCAAAATCTCCAATCTTTTGAATATGTGTTTTCATCCTGATTCTTCTATGGTGATGTAAAATAATAGATTCTGGACCCCATGACACACTTCACTCCTTCTGGTGAATATGATGGTCACCGCAGGGAAGGGCCAGGTGCCACTACACTTGACCAATGCCTGTCATTTCTCCTTCCATCAGATGTCCTATTGACAGAAACTCTCTACAAAAATCATTCTCTGGGCTTTAAAAAGAAAAGGCCAAACTCCATGAAAAAGAAAGTACAACAGTAAGAGAACATAGCACACACAGTCTTTGTAGTCTTTAACCTAAAGAAGTACATCTGAATATTCTTCACTGAGCCTCTAATACCAGAAAACCATATACATTCTCTCATTTTTAAAAGATTTATTTATTTATGCATACAGAACTGTGGTACAGGCCACAAGTGCAAGGGCAGTGAGAGGATTCCCCAGAGACATAATGGGGAGCAGAACAGGCTGACTGATGAAGTACACTGCTGAGGGGAGCAGTGGGCGGGGTCAGAAGAGGTCTGCCTCATCTGGCACCATGGGGATCTAGGGCAGGGGATCGAACTCATGCTGCTGTGGCTTTGACTTCTTAGTGCTGTGCTTTAACCCGCTGCACTACCAGGGAGGGCCTAACATTCTCATGTGTTTTTTTTTGTTTGTTTGTTTTTTGTTTATTTTTTTATTTATACAGAACTGGGGTACAGGCCAGAGATGCGGAGGGGAGCAATGGGCGGGTCAGGAGAGGTCTGCTGGGCCATGTGGTCACTTCCCAGCAGGTGAGGAGGATCTAACTCATGAGCAAGCGGCTTAAGCTTCATAGTGCAGTGCTTTAACCCTCTGCGCCACCAGGGAGGGCCTAACATTCTCATGTTTTACCTTAAGAATCTTACACACTTTTCACTCTGTACAATAATATATATGGGCTTTATTTATTTTAAAAATATTTTTCAAACATCAAAAAATGTCTGCTACCTGTCTCATTGACTAATGATCAAATAAAACGTTATGACACTACCTCCATCTATTTGGGGAAATGGGTGGGTTAAAGAGAGCTGTCAAAGCATTTCCTCCACTCTGCATCATAATATTTTGGAAACTCAGCCTGACATGATAATCACAGGCTTTTCGCAGCTTTTGGAGCTTTGGCAGGGTTATTGCTCAGAAGTTAACAGAGGCCAGTGATTTCAGGAAGTGTATTTTCTTGCTGAGAATTTCTCACAAGTCATATGTTGGCTCAAAGATTCTCTGCTCCCTCATCCCCTCCTTTAGGGTTAGAATAAACCTGTTAAGAGGTATGGCGTTGGGTTGCCCTGTGTAATATTAAATAGAGCCGTCAGCCTTGCCCATGTTAAGACGGTGACATCTGAGCAAAACTTGAAAGAGCTGAGGAAGTCAGTCAAGTCCATGTATGGGGTTGGGAGGTTCCATCCCAGTGGAAGAAACCACCCTCTGTAAAACCTATGGAGTAAGGCTTTCAAGGAATTTAGATTTAATTCTGAGTGAAGAGGGGAGTATAACACATTTTTATAGTGGAATGAAATGATTCAACTTGTTTTAAAAGCGCTCCTTTGCTACTGTGAGGAGAATAGACTCTAGGAGGCGGAGAGTGGAAGCAAGGAGGAGCTGTGAGATGACCTCAGTAGCTGTGGCACAAGGCCAAGTGGTAAACTGCAGTGGTCAGAGGAGGTCAAGCCACAGATGCATTTCAAAGGTAGAGCCAAGTGGATTTGCTGATAAATTGGATTGTACTTGCTGATAAATGTTTGCATGAGTTATAATTGAAACTTATTTTCATTGTGCTACTCACATTTTGGTGAAATTGTGGGGAGGAAACAGAGCTCTGCATCTCCAGACATCAGGGAATATGATCATTGGCCAAGATACTAATGCCTGCAAGTGACTGTTACAGTGCCAATTGCATTTTTTTTTAACGATTTCCTTTCCACTTTATTGAATTAGAGATCCATAATTACACTGAAATTTTTTTAATATAACAATTTATTTTTACATCATTTTGTGCCTTTTTCCATCTCAGTAATAATCCCAGTGGGAGAATCTTCACAATTTTTAAAGCTGTAGTAGTTACTAATACTTTTTATAATTTCAGTTTGAGGAAATGAGCTCTGTAGTCTAAGCATCTTAAATTGGAAATGCTTCTAAGGCTACAGAAAAATGTCAAAATGTATTTGTGAAATAAAAGATAGCTAACTAGATAGCATTCTTATTGAAAATCACCAGTACAACAAAATTAATACATAGTCAATTTATGTAATTGAAATTGCAAATATAAATTGACTCTAACTACTAAGTGTTGTGTAAAGACTTTGAAAGGTGATATTAATGGTGGCCAATATTTGTCCAAATAGTTTTTATAAAATTTCCTGTCAAATGATATATTTCTGGGCCAATAGCATTTTTCGTCCAACGAAATAACAGTTTTCCATTCTCTGGACTTTTATAAAGCACATACACTTAGCTGCATGGAAAAGTGGGATTCAGAGGCAGATACACAACAAACCCTTCTGGAGCAAGAAAATCCAAAATGAAATTCTCCCACCCCAAAATTGTTGAATAAAATAAGCAAAATGGCACCCAGTTTGGGATTCAGGTCCCATAAATTCCTACCCTGAGGCCTAATTTGAAAAACAAGTTTTTTATGTAAGCAAACTCAAACCCGGGACATACTAACTCGCACGCTGACTTGGACTATATCCTTGAAGTGTCCTTGTTATTGCTTCAGTTTGACTTACACAGCCTCATTTCCTTCCCAGGAAACAAGAACCTAAACTTGATCCTGGCCAGGGAAAGGGACTGGCAAGTTCTCTAAGCACAATTAGCATAGCAGTGGGTGCTGCTAACCTGAAGCACTGGGTAGCTCCTCAGAGCCTAGGGGGGTCACTGCCCCAGTGTTTACATCTGAACTCTCTACTATCCACTAGGAATGAGGTATGTGCCAAAGGTGTGCTGAGATGATTGCATGGTTCAAAACATGAATCAGAGAGTGTAAAAATCTCTCCTTTCGGAGATGCAAATTAAAACCACAATGAGATACCATCTCACACCATCTCAATGAGAATGGCACATCTTAAAACAACTAGCAACAACAAATGTTGGCAAGGATGTGGAGAAAAAGGAACTCTCCTGCACTACTGATGGGAATGCAAACTAGTACAACCACTATGGAAAACTGTTTGGAGGTTCCTCAAACTGCTAAACATGGAGCTTCCCTATGACCCAGCAATCCCACTCCTAGGTATCTACCCAAAAGACACAAAAACACTGATTGAAAAAGATACTTGTACCCCCATGTTTATTGCTACTTTATTTACAATTGGAAAGACATGGGATCAACCCAAATTTGCCCAAAAGTAGGTGACTGGATTAAAAAGTGTGGTACATATACACAATGGAATATTACTCAGCATGAATGGAGCTAGAAGGGATCATGCTTAGTGAAATAATCCAGAAGGAAAAGGAAACATACCAGATGGTTTCACTCATAGCAGAAGTATAAAGGACCAAGGGAGAATATAATAATAATAATGAACATCTATATACAAGAGATATTTTACAGGAGTGTAGTGGGAGATGGATCAAAAATGGTGGTGGGGAGGGAAGTCACTGGACTATGGTGATGGCACACAGAAGATCTGGTGATGGGAAGCCCACGGGGATTACAACTGAGATGGAAAAAGGCACAAAATGATGTAAAAATAAACTACTATATTATTCTTTAAAAAGTCTCTCTTCTCAATTCTCAATCTCTCTCTCTCTAATTTATTTATGTATTTATGTATTTAGTCTTGACTCCAAGA